CCATTCGATAATATAAAATAATGTATGGATATTGTGGACAGTATAAAAGTACCCAAGGAATAGGATGAAGAAACAGAAATGATGAAAAATGATATAGATAGCTGAAGTACAAACGTAAATGTGTCGTACTTTTTGAATCACACTGGTAAAATCTCAAAAACGCAAAATAAGCCTGTATTCCAATATTGAAACACAGTTTTCAGCATTCTCCGGTGAGGACGCTAGGAATCGGTGTCGAAATATTGGAAAACATGGGATCGCGCGCCCCCACTTTTCCCCCTCTAAAAAATTTTTTTTCCTGAAACAAAAAATACTGGGCTCTTCACAAAGGATGAACGGATGTTTCTCTGGAAGCGGATTTTGAGTTTTTGTCTTAGTTTTTTCAAAAAAAAATTCTGAATATACTCGAAAAATGCAATGTTCATGATTTTTTTGCAGAATATCGGTGAATTTTTTCAAAATTCTGCTCCCAGAGAAACCTAGATATTTCAATTCCCCATCTCACCATATTTTTTGTTTTCCGAAAAAATCAATATTGAACAATGAAAAGTGGGGGCGGAGAAAACATGTTTTCATTGCACTGATGCATGGTGTATCCTCCTCCGCGCTCGCTTCGCTCGCACGTTAAAATATCTCGATCATTAATCGCCCTCATTAATAGACTAGTAGGTTAAATAACTATTAAATACTGTCTGTAGGTTAATCGAGGAGGTGGTACATTCATTTTTACTTGGTTCTTTGGGATTTTCTCTCCTCGTTTCTATAAAATAAAAGTATTCGTATTATTTCAATATATTTGTAGAGGGACAAATCAGATGATTTGCCCCAAAATGTCACTGCGTTTAACAAATTTTTCTATCAGGGAGTCTAAAAGAAACACAATAAAGAAACACGAAAATCAACTAACACTTGCGGAAAGGAAGAACATCTCCATATATCACAGCAAACCTCCACATTTTTACGGACTTCCAAAAATACATAAACCAAATATTCCTTTGAGACCAATAGTGAGTTCAATTGGATCTCTATGTCAAAATTTAGCAAGATTTCTTTTGAATATTATCAATCCTATATCAGGTAAGAGTGAGAGTTTCATTAGAAATACTCCTCATTTCTTAGAAAAATTGAACGATATCACATTGGATATAAATGACTCTCTTGTTAGTTTTGATGTAGTGAGTTTATTCACAAATGTTCCTATAGATAAAACTTTACAAATAGTGAAACATAAATTAGAAGATGATGAAACTCTTACTGAGAGAACCAATCTGAGTATCGAAGGAATTTTGGAATTTTTGGAATTATGCCTGAAAACTACATATTTTCAATTGGATGATGAGTTTTATCAACAGAGTTTTGGCATGGCTATGGGCTCACCACTATCTCCAATTTTGAGCAATATATTTATGGAGAATTTCGAAGAAAACGTTATTAAAAATTACGAAAAACAACCAAAAACGTGGTGGAGATACGTAGATGACATCTTCATAATTTGGCCACATACCCTTATAGAACTAGATAATTTTCTAGATCATGTAAACAATGCAGAACCTACTATAAAGTTCACTTTGGAAATCGAATCTGACAGTCAGTTGCCATTTTTAGATGTTCTTATCAAAAAATCAAACAATGTTTTCTTAACAAGTGTATATCGTAAAAAGACTCATACTAATAGATACCTCAATTTCCAATCAAATCATCAGAAAGCTATCAAAAAAGGAATAATCAGATCACTTCATGATCGAGCCAAATCAATATCATCTAACCAACAAATTTTCAATAACGAAATCCACCACATCAGAGATGTTCTTCAACTCAACTCATATCCAAGGAACTTCATTGATAGAACGATTCACCAAATTGAAAACAAACAAAATACACCACAACAAAAACAACCATCAATAACGACGAATATAATACCGTACATTCCCGGCATATCTGAAAAAATAAAACGTGTTGGTGATAAGTTCCAAGTGAAAACTGTATTCAAAACTGAAAATACAATGAGATCCATTCTAACTCAAACAGAGCCAAAAAATGAAGAACAATCATCAAAAAATTGTATTTATAGTATACCTTGTGTTCGTGGAAAGTATTATACAGGTGAAACGAAGAGACCCCTCTCAGTAAGGACAAAAGAACACAAGTACAATATCAAGAAAAGACATATCGATAAATCGAAGCTAACGGAACATATCCTCACTGAAGATGGACAACATATGGCACAGTGGAATAATATCAAAATCATAGGAAAGGAAGATAACAAACAAAAAAGAAAAATAAAGGAATCCGCTTGCATTCTTCTAAACGGAGACAATAGCATTGCTTCCTGTTCAGTTGATATTGATAGAACATGGTATTCACTACTGAAAACTGAACATGAAAATGGTAGATTCAAGATCAATTAATGAAAACATCCTGTAACTCATTTGTAGACTAAAATCACTCATTCATATGCCAACATCAGTATGACACTGAAAAGTGTCAAACTATATACGCAGCACAACTTTCAAGGAAAAATAATTTGCATTTACTTGTTGAGAACGGGAGCAGAATCGGTCCCGAAACGTCCAAAGATAAGTACAAATTCGATATTTTTTCAATATATCTATCTATATTTCTTTCCTTCAAAAAATTTTTTCAAACAAATTGTCACTGACAAGCTACTGGATTTTTCTTTTAGACTCCCTGATAGAAAAATTTGTTAAACGCAGTGACATTCTGGGGCAAATCATCTGATTTGTCCCTCTACAAATATATTGAAATAATACGAATACTTTTATTTCATAGAAACGAGGAGAGAAAATCCCAAAGAACCAAGTAAAAATAAATAACTATTAATCGTTTGAAATTTGAAAAATGACTCGCGTACCACTTGACTACTTAGTTAACTTATCTGTTTCATGAATTGTTCGATATAATAATTCGAAACGGTAAGAACGGAAAATAACTGAGAGAGCTTGTTATAACGGAAATACGTTAATGACTCAATTTTGAAAAAATTCTCTCACTACGCGGGTATAGTAAAAAAGCTACATGAAGCTGATATCATGATCATTATATCATCGACTATTCAATCAGTATTACTTATTTCACTATCCATTAGAATTAACGATCTGAAACTGTGTAGATTGATAAATCATGATGGTAAGTATATAGATTGAATTGAACAACGACAGATTGTCAATTTGATCGACAAGAGTGGGACATTCCAGTTCACTAGTGTCAGTAAACACTAATATGAATTCATTTTCAAATGTTTGTGAATTGAGTTATCTGAATTGCTATTTTATCAAAATTTCAGGAATATAGTGTGAATTCAATACGGCATTAGTGAACATTCAATCTAGAATTTCGGGTGGTCACAAAAATCCGGGAGTTTTTATTTTCCTCGTGGTTTCATCATTTCTCAACCGAATTCGAATTTTTTGATGTCGTTTCATAGCTAAAGGGCTATAGTATACAGTGGAATATTTGAAAATTTCATAATGAACAGAAACAAAATGGCGAATTCTACCAAAGTATCGTCATTTACAAAAACCGCTGGAGAAAAAGAAAATCAGATTTTTTCCAACCTGTACCGATGTCATCTTAGGCTATTCATTTCTGAAGAGAATGAGTACTCGAACATCGAAATCGAACGAATAGTCCAGTAGATACACTCATTTCTTTACAATTTGTTATGGAGTGAATGTGCTAATCTTGAATAAACGATTATTATTATTTTGCTGCAGGCTTCATGAAAATTCAATCGAATTTGGATTTCTTACAGTTATTCCAGAGATAAAGAACTGTAGTACACAATAAAATATTTGAAAATCTCATAATTGGAAGAAACAAAATGGTGGAGAATCCAGAATTTTTGTGATTTTCGAAACGAATAGAAAAATATTTATTCTTTCAATCAGGACCGATAGAATTTTAGATCATTGATTTCTGAAAAGAATGAGCACTCGAACATCTGAATCGAACAATTGAACAATTAGTCCAGGAGGAACACGTTCTTTTTGGCAAAGTGTTATGGAGTGAAATCCAAATTCGATCGAATTCTGATAGTGCTAGAAGCAAACTAAAAGTAATTCTTATCAGGGGATTGGCACATTCACTCCATAACACTTTGCCAAAAAGAACGTGTTTCTCCTGGACTACTTGTTCGATTCAGATGTTCGAGTGCTCATTCTCTTTAGAAATCAATGATCTAAAATTGTATCGGTCCTGATTGGAAGAATACACATTTTTTCATTCGCCAGAGATTTTTGAAAATCACAAAAATTCTGGATTCTCCACCATTTTGTTTCCTTCAATTATTAGATTTTCAAATGTTTTATTGTGTACTACAGTTCTTCATCTCTGAAATAATTCTTCTAAGAAATCCAAATTCGATTGAATTTTCATGAAGCCTGAAGCAAAATAATAATAATCGTTTATTTGAGATCAGCACATTCACTCCATAACAAATTGCAAAGAAATGAGTGTATCTACTGGACTATTCGTTCGATTTCAATGTTCGAGTACTCATTTTCTTCAGAAATGAATAGCCTAAGATGACTTCGGTACAGGTCGAGAAAAATCTGATTTTATTTTTCTCCATCGGTTTTTGTAAATGACGATACTTTGGTAGAATTCACCATTTTGGTTTTGTTCATTATGAAATTTTCAAATATTCCACTGTATACCATAGCCCTTTAGCTATGAAACGACGCCAAGAAATTCGAATTCGGTTTAGAAATGATGAAACCACGAGGAAAATGAAAACTTCCGGTTTTTTTGTGACCACCCGATAGAGTTGATTGCAGTATCAGAGTGAGTTTGACAGAGTATTTCACCTCTAAAAACAAACTCTCCGAATTTAACTCGAAGCGTTTTTTTTACTGTGTAGCTCATAAAATGGCGTGAACTCTCTTGGTAGGGTAAACACACTTTACTCTTTGAATAGGAATTAATAATGGTAGATTATATAGCTAGTAGTGAAAAATATATTTTAGACTTCCGATATCCCTTCAAGAAGTCGAATTGACACATGCTTTGCTCCAATCAGTTATGATCCTGTCCATAGGAACACTGTTGATGAGCTGTCCTGCGAACCCCCTGAACATGAGCGCACCAAAAGTTTGGAATCTCTTCTTTTGATTTCCTTCCAAGGTCACATCCTGTTGGTCCATCTTGGCCAGAGCATCTTCTTCTAGTGCAACGTTGTCTTCCACAACGTCACCGAAGAAAATTGTTGATCTGGAAATTGATATTTTGACGTTGTAGGACGTAACGTCCAGATATTTTTCGTTGTCCTTTTCTGTGAGCTTGAATTTGAGCGAGTGCTTCATAGTCACATTATCTGGAAAATATGATAGTGTAGGTGGAAGAATACCAGGAAGAACATTTATATCGGCTATAGACCATCGATTCACATAGGCTCAATATTCGAGTACCTTCCTATTGCAAATTTTTGATCTACTCAATTCAGGAGCCATTTTGAAACAAACAAATATTCTATCGGAATCAAGAAGGACATAAACAAAATTGTTCGAATCAACAAAAATTCAATGAATTCAACAAAATCTGAGTGTCATAATACATCCGCCACGACGAAATATTTCGTAACTGCAACATTTTTCTTGGCAGTTGTCAACTTGGAATTGATTTAATGTAATGAATTATTGATTCAAATCAACGGCAAGATTTGGTAGAATCATCATGAAACCTTTTGTTTCTTTAATACGACATCTGCTCTGATGAACACATTATGTTGATTCAAATGACCAAGTAATTCCGTTCAAGTGAAAAAAATTGGCAGTTCTTCAGAAAGTGAATATGTTGAAAAAACAATATACAGAGTGGGCCGTTGAAAACGAAACAGAGGCTCTGTAGGTAGCCAAAACCGGATTTTAAAAAAAATCTGAAACACGTCAACTATATTTCCGAGGGGGACATCGTTCTAAGATATTTTCAGCCCTGCGGCGTTGCCGCTTCTAGAGAAAAAAGCAACAACTTTGTTATTTCAAATGGAACACCATGTATTTCATTGTATTTTTAGATTCTCCCCGAAGAGCTGATTTCATCAATATATCACACTTGGGGTCCAGCTGTGATGGTTTCAGGGATATAAAGTGTTCAAAATCGAGATTTTTCAACTTTAGCATTTTTTTGTGTCGAAACTATTCATTATTGGTCAAAACGGCTTTCATTCCCTATCTCAACTCGTGATTTACTATCTACTAACATTTAATTGGAACATATACAGGGTGATCAGAATTCTGAATCTTGAACCACCCTGTATTTGTTTCAAATAAATGTCAGTAGATAGTAAATCACAAGTTGAGATAGGGACATGGATGCCGTTTTGACCAATAATGAATAGTTTCGACACAAAAAAATGCTAAAGTTGAAAAATCTCGATTTTGAACACTTTATATCCCTGAAACCATTACAGCTGGACCCCAAGTGTGATACATTGATGAAATCAGCTCTTCGGGGAGAATCTAAAAATACAGTGAAATACATGGTGTTCCATTTGAAATAACAGAGTTGTTGCTTTTTTTCTCTAGAAGCGGCAACGCCGCAGGGCTGAAAATATTTTAGAACGTCCCCTTCGAAAATATAGTTGACGTGTTTCAGATTTTTTTTATAATCCGGTTTTGGCGACCTACAGAGCCTCTGTTTCGTTTTCAACGGCCCACTCTGTATATTCTGACAACATTGTATTTGAAATTTACGATCAAGTTTGTTGAATAATATTGATTGAAGTTTTCAATAACTGAAAAATTTCGAAACTGAGAGAAATAAGATCAATTTTCTCTGTTGTATCAAGACTATTAGCAACGAAATATGGAAAAGAGCTCATATAAATATGGGTCCATAACTCTTCATATCCGAGTCAGAAGGGGTTGAGATTTTAAAGGTATTTTTGATGGAATATTAAAAAGTAGTACATGGAGAGACCTGTTTGAGAGGATACTAGCTAGCAGAGAACATAGCTGGGTAGGCAGGCCATAAGATGGAAGCTTGGCGAAGAGTCCGTGGTGCCAGACTCGATCGAATGCCTTGGAGATATCATGTGCCACAGCTGAGGTTAAACTATATTTTTCAATAGATTGCTGCTATATATGTGAGACGTAAGTGGGCAGGTCACCAGGTGATATCTGATGACGAAAGCCATATTGTCTATCGTTGATAATACCTGAATGTTTCAGGTGTTTCATGAGCTCGATGTTGATTGCTTTCTCCATGATCTTTGGAATAATAGATAGCAATGCGATCGGTCTGTAGTTGCTATAGGCAGGGTCTTTTTGCTTTATTTAGGAACTGGTTGTACTTTTGCAATTCTCCAGTTGGACAGAAATATCCCCAATTTGTAAGATTAGTTGGACAACTTGCAGAGAACATGTGTTAGTTTGGGAGCACATTTCTTGAGAACAATTGGTGGGATTTCGTCGGAGCCACAAGTTTTGTTGGTGCTGAGACCCAATAAGATCTTTCTTATAGTACGTTGGCGAAAGGTGATTTTGGGCATATGACTGTCAATTGACGTTATGTTTGGAGGTTGTTTTCTCGATGAATCCAGAGTGGAATGGATGAATGAAATTTCAATTTATCTACTCTGACAATATTGATTTCCTCCTCAAAAATATTTCAATTATTCCTGACTGAGAAACGGAGCTACTTGGTGTAACAGTGAATATATTGGTCTGAACCAGAGAGGTCGATTTATTTGCTGAATGAATTCCACTAGAACCATTCTACTGTTAGGTTCTCTATATAAACTTGCTTCTCTGAAAATGTTCTCTTCTAGGATGAAGAGATATCTTACTATTGCAGGAAAGTAGTTTTCATTAACATTCCTTTGAAATAACTGTAATGTTATTTGCTGTCCCAGCAGGTAAATTCAACATCATATATATTTATTCATGATATGAGTAATGCTCATTGCGATCCCAGTAAATTGATTCAGCTGTAAGCGTTTCGGCCAAAAAGAGTCAAGGAGAATGCGGTTGAAGGGATAATCAGGACAAAGAGAATATTTTCGTGAATCGAGGAATTTCATTCATATGTGTAGTTGCGATGAGTTGATCTGGTAAATCACTGAAAATCGCGAGAAACATAGAGTGATATTTTTTTCTGCAAAAAAATTGATGACTTGCTTGCTAGTCATGTTCCTGGAAATGATTCTAAATCGAATCTTATTTGCTCAGTAGATGTTTGATGATTGTGTGAAGGAATTTCATGAAATATATCGAAATCGGCTGAAACATTTTCAAGGAATTAATGCCCAGGTAACAAGCTGACGTCATTTGTACGTCATTATCACGTCAGGCCTGACGTCAGGATGACTTCCAAAATGACGTCATAATGACGTTTATATGACCTTCTAAGTCAAAGACGAATGACGTCATTTTCATGACGTCAAAATGAGGACCTCCTAATGGCGTCAAAATGACGTGATATTTACGATTATTTATATCACTGAAATCTTCTGCATGTTTCAGTTCATTTTGTGCTATTTCGAAATTTTCTGTAGGTAAAAAAAAACACTGTTGCATTAGGGTTGTTTCAATATTATCAGAAAAGATGAGATTTTTTTTGTATAATTATATTGATGTTCCTTTACCACATTATAAATGCAAAATAATATCATAGGTAGGTACTTTAAATACCAGTTTCATAAAATGTTCTTTTTATTGGGAACTTATCCCATTCGGATGATGCACTCAAGAGATTTCTCAGAACCCTATGGTATTCCTTCAATGGCGTCCAATTCACATTCTGCTCTTTCGGCATACACCACTTGTCTAAAATAATGACCATGCTGCCATCCTCAAATTCTACTACTTGATATATGAATATGAATAAGTATGACCACCACACCACACAACATGGATAGCCGAATAACATGATAATGATGGCCTTCTATGTATTGTTATTTTGTTGTTATGGTCATCATGGCCGCAACGGCAACGGCGAAGCGAAAGTGAACGGCTTCGGCTTGGCCACAGCCGTCTTCTGAAGACGGCTGTGGCTGTGGGTTGGCGCTGGCGGTCGACGTTCGCATGTCTGCGCAAGGTCCGTGCCGACCAATCAAATACAGTTCTCTACGCACTCTCCCGCTCTGATTTGAAATCGCATTCCGGAATAACAACGTCATAATCTTTTTATGACGTGACATATTCGGTCTTATATTTTTAATAGCTATAGGGAGAATACTTTGCACAGAAGGTATATAATTAACAATTATCTCAGAGACCATCGAAAACACACATCTCGCACAGATTAGAGGAAAAATTATTATGAAGCATAATATATGATGAGTGACATAATAATATATGTTATATAACATAACTACTAACGTTTTCATAAAACAGAGATGGGAAACTTCTTGATTATGGATTTTCCTTGATGTAGATGACTCAATAAATGATGGTCATAATTAGTCATAAAAATGACCATCAGATGACGTCATATTGACGACATATCAAGGACGTCTATATAACGTCATATTAAGTTCGTCAAAATGACGTCATTTTGAGGTCATATGACGTCAATGACCATAAATGACCATATATTGACGTACAAATGACGTCAGCTTGTTACCTGGGGGAGTACTGATTTTTTTTCTGAGAACCTCAATGCTCTCTAATTCGGAAATGACGCGTGTCCGGACCCATATTCATATGAATATCTCCCCATAACTTTGCTGAGGGAAATGCCTCTTAGGCTTTTGGCTCCACAACTCTGAAACACCCAGTATTGAATTAGTTTTATCCTCTGAGCAGATACTCACAATATCTTATAATGGCAGCACCGTCTCCTTGCTTGGGCTCTGGTTTCCCTTGTTGGTTAATTTTTCCTAACATTTTGAATCGTTGTATGAAAGCAGTTACTGTCGCACTGTTCGTCGTAAAGTCGAGTGCTGGATTGCATAGGTCTACACTGAAAAATTATATCTCATCGATATTTCATTCGAAGATTTTAGTGCCCTTGAACCTTTTTATAACATTCACTGTTTCTTCTGCAACTAACTGAGTATTCAGTATAGTGAATAGTCTTTCTGATGGATGAAGAACTAGTAATTTCGAACTATATATACAGGAATACTGTATGTAGGTTAATCGAGGGGGTGGTACATTAATTTCACTCGATTCAATGTGATTTTCTGTCCTCGTTTCTATGAAATAAAAAAATCCGTGTTATTCCAATTATATTTGTACGGTATTATATTCGTCGTTATAGATAGAATGATTCACCGAATTGTAAACAAACAGAATACACCACAACAAAGACAACCATCAATAACGACGAATCTAATACCGTACATTACCGGCATATCTGAAAAAATAAAGCTTGTTGGTGATAAGTTCCATGTGCAAACTGTGTACAAAACTGAAAATGCAATGAGATCCATTCTAACTCAAACAAAGCCAGAAAATGGAGAACAATCATCAAAAAATTGTATTAATAGTATACCTTGTGTTTGTGGAAAGTATTATACAGGTGAAACGAAGAGTCCTCTCTCAGTAAGGACTAGAGAACACAAGTACATTGAAGCTTACTGAACATATCCTTACTGGAGATAGAAAAACATATGACGAAGTGGAATAATATCGAAATCATAGAAAAGGAAGAAAACAACCAAAAGAGAATAATCAAGGAATCCGCTTGCATTCTTCTGAACGGAAACAATAGCATTGCTTCCTGTTCAGTTGATATAGATTGGACATGGTATTCAGAACTGAAAACTGAACATGAAGATGGTAGATTTGGAATCAATTGATTAAAACATCCTGTAACTCATTTGTGAACTAAAATCACTCATTCATTTGCCAACATCAGCATGACACTGAAAAGTGTCAAACTATCAACAGGACAACTCCCAAAGCGAAATATTTCGAATTTTCATGTTGGGAACGGGAGCAGATTCGATCTCGAAACGTCCAAAGATGAGTATGAAGTCGATATTTTTTCAATATATTTATATTTCTTCAGTTCAAACATTTTTTCGAACGAATTGTTGAAGACAAGCTACTAGATATTTCTTTTAGTCTCCCTGATAAGAAAATGTGTTCAACGAAGTGACATTTTGTGGCAAATTATCTGATTTGTCCCACTATGAATAAAACGCATATTTTCATTTTATGGAAACGAGGAGAGAAAATCCCCAAAAATCGAGTCTCTCTGATCGGGGATGATAAATATCGAACTATATATACTATATACTATCTAACTATCCATAATTTCTCAGGAGTCAGTGCATTATTCTGATCCTCTGAAATGCATTGTGAAAGCCTATAGGCTTTCACAATGCAGTCAATTGTGAAACCTACAAATTGTTTTTTGGTATTTTTCCGAAATCCCAAGACATGGGAATGACAAATCCAACTCTTTCTAGTTTTACAGAACAATTGAACCGAATTCACAAGAAATGTCGAAAGTCAGCTCTATGAATTCAACCTATCCAGATTTCAACAATTCTGTACATTTTTCGGTTGATTTCCAGGTGCTAGAATCATCAATAATACCTCAGTGATTTTCGAACGGATAGAAATTTACCGCGAATAAAAAATGACGTTACGATTTCGTAGGTAGGGGCAGACCATAACAAAGTTGCCATGTGTTGAAATACGATTGGATACTCTAGAAATATCAGCTATTCAAACATTCATGAATTCTCAATGACGTATTGATAATATCACTATTCAGCAGATACAAAATCAATGCTTATAATAGATTTGTGTGAATAGTATTATTTATATCAATCCACACTAGAGTAAATTTGAAGCAGTGAACGTGACAACACAGCGCGCACGATTTGTGGCCGTGGTATTGTACCTTCTCAGCATTCAGCACAATTTGGCCCAGTCTACAATATTTGGAAATGCTGGTTGCAGTCAAGAATGAACTATAATATCATGGGTTCCTCATATTATATTCAAAACAACGACAGGACTCTCACATCTTGACTTGACAACCTTGCTTCGTGAGTGGAGATGGCAGATTATCTGACCAACAACGAAACATCATGAAATCTGACGTCACCATTTATCCGACGTATCGGCAAATGGTGGCCATGACGGTACGTTTGAAATGAGCTCTGAAATTCAACAATTTCGAACAACGCATACACTCATTTTTAACATAAAAAAAGTGTGAGAAGTGTTGCAAAAACTATGTATTTATCTCCTGTGTATTTACACCCGAGGAAAAATCAATCGCTCATCTGAAAGACCCTGATCAGGATAATGGAATAAAACAATTAAATTATGCCATTGTAATCGGTCCTTGATGGGGGCTTCAAAAAATTGGTTTGGTTAGTGCGGTGAAACAATGAATCAGAAAAAGTGGAAGACATGTTTTATCTCTCATTATTTCTATTCTGCTCTGGATTCTGTGTCTGTCAACAGACCATAAGTTTTATTGAATTCATCGTTTGAAAATATTGTGCATTACAGAGATCAGCTCACCTCACATTTTTCACCCGAGCTTGCCACAGATCTGGGTATGTCAAGTTGAAACATTCGATGGTAGTATTCTGTTCTGAATCATCAGGAGTAAAGAGGAAATAGGGAAAAGTCACTTTGCTGATCGTCAAATTGATTGGCGAGTGTATTCCTGAAATAAAACTGTTATGAAATACAGAGTGTCCCACGACGATTGAGACATAAAATACTACGAAACTCAAGATTACCAGGATATTTTGATTCCGGAGTTGTGAATTCGAGCAATGGGTGCAGCTTTTTCTGATATTTCTTACCTTATAAGCTTTTTGTTTTCGGCTATGTGATAAAAGTTTCAAAATTTGAGGTGGGACGACTTGTACATTTTGGCATTTTTATGTTTTTTCCAACAAACTATTAGCCTTGTGGTCTGAAATTATTGATTCAAGAACTACAGGTACAATATCCCTTGTCTCACGACGATTACGACGAATTTCTGAAACGAACATTTGCAAAATCATCTTAGTCCAGGGTCACCCTGTATATTGAGGCAGTCCTATATTTTTTGTGATGATTGATTCTTGATCCATATTTGTATAAGAACGTATTCGAAAAACTTTTGGACAAATGATATTGAAGTACCTGTAGTTCTTTAATTAATAGTCTTAGACTACAAATGTGATGATTCATTGGAATCGTTCCAATGGGAGGAACGTCAAATTGCCAAAATACCGGGTGACACAGGTTATCGGGCCACCCCTGTAACTTCTGCATTCGTCAACGGATTTTTCTGAAATTCGGTACAGTTATATAAGCAACTATTTCGGATTTGATCACATTACAATCCAATATGGCGGACTTCCGGTTTTTCTGGAAATGCCGGAAATTTTGTTTTTTCAAATGGAACACTCTGTATATTTTCACATATTCAAGTTCAACAGGTCAAAACAAGTGCAATCTTGATGTCAAATGTCATTCATTCCACAGCCTACCTAGTTGAAAGATTATTTTAACTGCAAGGAAATTCATAAACTAGTTGTTGATTTTTGAATGTATACAATTTGTTACTGCACCGAAAAACAAAAATGATATGACATTTTGTTCCTTAATGTATGTTCTAGAGAGACGGGTAGGTGGCCCATAAGGGTTCCATTTGAAAAAAAATAATTTTTGATAAAAAAGTGATGTGGCTGAATTGATTCCTGGATAAGTGACACAAAAAATAATTTTTCAGAAAAAATTATGTTCTTCTGTTATGTGTGACTCATTGTGAATAGTCTTGACCACATCTCATTTATCCACGACGTGAAATGAAAAAACAATTTTAATTTAATTTTTTTCGAAAAAATGACATTTGAAATAAAGATTGCACTTGTTTCGACCTGTTGAACTCGAATATGTAAAAATATACAGGGTGTTTCATTTGAAAAACAAAGTTGCTGGCATTTCCAGAAATACCGGAAGTCCGCCATATTGGATTGTAATGTGATCAAATCTGAAATGATTGCTCATATAACTGTACCGAATTTCAGAAAAATCCGACGACGAAAGCAGAAGTTACAGGGGTGGCCCGATACCCTGTGTCACCCGGTATACAGGTTGTTTTCATGAAAATTTCTGAAATTGCCTAAATATACCGGTTGTTTTATTGAAAATCGAGAAAGCTCATTTGGTGGAAAAATGGTAGAAAAAAGCTGCACCAGTTGCATAAATTCACAATCTCAAAATTACAATATTCTTATCCTCTCGACTTCCGAGTCATTTCATGTTTCAATCGCCGTGGAACACCTTGTGTGAAGTAGGTGATATTGATCTTCGATAAGTATACTAACTTATACAATAATATCTATAATTGATGATCTGTCTCCATTTGATTTAAAAAAAAATATAGGGGGAAGTGGACGGAAGTCTAGTCATGACCAGACATAATGCTGTATAGATATTTTGAGTGGGTATAGATCACCTGCGAATCAGAAAATATTGAGGATACATTGAGCCCCTCAATTACGCTAGTCGGGTAAGCTAGTCCAATTTCTCACTGCCATGAGAATTTAAGTTACGGAGATGGGGTTAAAATCATGTCATTTGAGGGTTTGTAGAATTGATGATTATTTGTAGAGGAAGGTTTCCTCGATTAGCAACAAGAGGTGAGGTAAACCCATCGAAAATTCAATTTCGAAGTCATAGGAATCTATATCCTCCAACTGTCTTGAGGTATATTTACCTATCCAGCTGTGATCTAGACTAATACATATATTTCAATGTAAACCAACATGAAATTCTGGATGGTATCACGTCACGGATTACGAGTTCATCTCACCGCGTTTTCTGATCGAGTCTTCCTCTCTATCAATCATACAAACCTTGTGTTGGCTACGAGAGACGCCAACATGGCGTTCCGATTTCAATTGTGCCAGGTAGCGCTTAACTGGCGGTCTCAGGATGTTAGCTGGCTGAGAATTGAGGCATAAGTATTCGTTTATTCAATCAGATGAATAGATTTCGGAAGGATGTCATTCAATGTTTTGCGTGGCATCAGGAGAGAAATTATTTGTTTTTTTTTGTCATGTATCATTGTTGTTGATATTATGAGAATTTGTAGAAATCACTCTGAGCTTTGTATTTCATTCAACAATGATTTGTGTTTGAAGTTATCATATCTTGTGTTATCCTACCTGGATTTGCCAATTTGAACAAAGCATCTTGAATGGATTCTGCAAGGCATCCGTCCAAATTTGGGTCAATAGATTTACATATTTTGAAATCGTCAGCTGAAATAATAGAAATGAGTATCACTTAGTTTCTTGCACTTTCGTGATAAGAGTGTGATAGATTATTACGTCCCTTCAAACAAGGACAAGGTATAAATTCGATTGTTAGGAAGTTGAAAATACTTTTTTCTACTACTGCTATGAAGAGTAACGCATTTCTCATAGCTTCATTAGTTTCAAAACCCTATGTGTTGCCCATACTGTGAGAAATATTTGTTCTCACAGCACTTTGCCAACACTACAGACATTTCCATGGAGAATCAACAGAAATCGACCACAACTTAGCTGCTGTTCAGCTTTGAATAGTTGTCACAACTGTCAGAAGGAGTTTTTTAAATCCTTCTAATAGTTGTCACAACTGTCAGAAGGAGTTTTTTAAATCCTTCAGGGTAGTTCTCATTAGTGCTTTTGATAGAAATCGCATTTTCCATCGAATATTGTACCAACAATTCATAATGAATAATATGATGTATATACCAAGATGTGACGATTTTGGTAAATACACCGCCAGAGACAGAGATAATGGAAAAAGCTGCGAAAGTCGGATTTGTTCCCGGAGATTTCAAGAAAAAAGTATGAATTGGCATATTGGTACGAAAAATTTATGGATTCTGAAGAAATACAGAAATAAAATCTCTTTCGGAAAGGCGTCTACTCTTTGGTCACAATATTCAATGTGGCATAGTGCCACATTATAAAATGGATACCAATAAGCTACATTACTCGGATTCTTTGAATAAGTGCAGTTGTAGAAAGAGTATAGTGTGCAACATGTGGGGAAAAGCACTTTTCTCACTCGTGCGTTTGCATCACTCGCCCTTCAGGCTCGTGCCACAAACTTCCACACTCGTGGGAAAAGTTGAACTTTTCTCACTTGTTGCACAATATACCATTCTGTCTTGATGCTAATTATAAACAAGATCACTCACTAGTACATACATACCAGGTAGCACAGTGACGTCCAAAGGACGCTCTTATTTGGTCACAAAACTGACCATTTTACGTCAAAAAATTCCAGGGTATATAAAGGCATATTATAGGGTATAAGGAAACATGATTATACACCAGTAACCTCTGATGAGATTCATTGATGAGTTGGTCTCTCCGGGTGTTCGATCTTTGATCCTGGCGTTATTATTAGTTCGCATCTCTATGTGATTATCAATTAGCTATTTATATTTGAATCTAAGATTGTGTAGCGAGCGTTGGCGAGATGTAGGCGGAATAAAAGAAGCTTGATTGCAACGTACCGAAAGTTGGCGAAAAAAGCTTCACGTTGTAGAGAAAATTGTTCCCATATCTATAGAGTGTTAGGATTCCAAGATATCGGCTGATGAAGAGTTGTCTGAATATGACACCCTGTATATTATTGCAATTCAAGGTTCTTTCAGGGGGAGCCGATTTTATCAAAACGAGATTCTGCAATTTTAGGTTTCTTTTTGTGTTTAAACTATCAATCATTGGTCAAAACGACTTGCATGTCCCTATCTCAACTTTAGATTCGGAACAAATGTGGGGTGGTTCAAGATTAATAATTCTGACTCGGAATTCTGATCACCCTCTGTAGTATTTGTCGATTAAATGTCAGTAGATGGTGAATCAAATGTAAAGATAGGGACATGTTAGCCGTTTCGACCAATAATGAATAGTTTCAACGCAAAACAATCCTAAATTTGAAAAATATCGATTGAATTATACACCCTATATCTCTGTTATCATTCCCGCGAGACTCCAAGTCTGATGTATTGATTGAATTAGCTCTTCGAAGAGAATATGAAAATGCAATAATAAACAGGATTCCCAATTAAAAAAAACTCATCTTCAGCCGATATCTTGGAATTCGAACACTCTATGAATATAAAAATAATTTTACGAGATAGTTTTCAGGAAACCCTATAACTGTTGCGTTCGAATTTTTCCCTTGGCTTGGCTAATATCGAAGGAGAACACAGTTTTGACTCACCCTGTATATTAGATTTCCATATTAATTAATATTGAAAGAGCTGAATAAGTTTAGTTCACGAAAGACAAAAAGTAAACTTCGTTGAGACGTCTTCATGACATTCAGTAATATACGTCAATATGTCGTCATGAAACATGACGTCATTTTTAGGTCTCTTTACAGTCGAGAACGTCATAGACCAATAATGACCTAAAACAAACGTCATTAGGACGTCATTTCACTAGCCTGTGCTACCTTGGTAATTATCAAAAAGAATCAGAAGAGAACAATAAAAAAATACCTTCTGGGATTTTTGTCTTTCAAATTACTAAAAAATTCTTAATCTCCGCGATAATATTTGTTGTGAAATAGGTTGATAATGAACATTGGATCTTATTGAAGAACCTGCATCTCGGTTATAATCAACATTTCAACAAGAAAAAAGTTTTCTTTATTATGGGTCATTGTACAGGGTGTAGATCACAATTTCGAAGAAATTCAGTAGGCGAATCTTCATCATATTCTAGCAAGAACAGTCATTCATTATACAAATGAAAAATGTATTTGATTTCAGCTCCAGGTTGTATTTTCTTCCGTCGCGTAGTGGAGTGATACAAAAAACCGTGAGCTATTATCTGATAATTCTTTCCTGTGTATGATACATAATATTCTTCTGTGATAGAAAACAGGACGAATCAATATTGAGAATATAAAACATTATATTGAAATCAGAAAATTAACAAGGTGAAATTTAAAGTTATTAACAGAAATTACACCTCCGTTGCAGGCATCTTCATCATTCTTTTGAAGAAATCAAATATCTGTCAGTCTAATTCGGTGAATATGGATTCTGAATAATATCATCTGAGTAATGATCCTTGAATTCCTGAGCCAATCAAGCATCGAATTTTCATTGTATTCGGGCAACAGACAAGTTTATGTATTTCAATAAAATGCAATTTGACAGCCAATAAATGGACGAATATCAGATTGTGATACATATTTGAATAGAAAATTTCTAGATAAGATAGGCTACGCAGGAATATACAAGGTGCCATTTGAGGAAAAAAGTTGGGTTTACTTCCGATCAAACAGGTAGTTGAAGAAAATTGTCATTGGGTTCAAGGGAAGCGCCATCATCGATTTTATACCCCTTGTGGATTTCAAATTTTTATCATTTCAAATGAAAAAACTTAAGGCTGTTACATGTCTTCTGTGTCATTCATAACCGAAAGAAAAGTAATTGATGAAATATGACATTTTATAAGCTGTCAACAGAGATGAAATGTCAAACTTCATTCTTGTCACGAAAAAAACATCACCTCATCATGTGTCCTGAATTCCTTCATTTCAGAGTATATCAAATTTTCACAATTTCATTGAATTTATTGGATAATTTTAACTGGTGTCTTGAGGGCATCTATAGGTACATATGAATTATGAGTGAAATCTAGTTTCAATTCATTCCACAAAATTTAAGCTAAAAGCAAGAGTTACCAAAGAGACAAAATAGTTATTTTTTAAATTATTCAATTCGATTGAAATGTTGTGGAATTGAATGAAAATAGTGGCGTATATACATATATGATATTCACTATAAATATCGATAAGGTCACCCAATTCAACGCCACTGGAATTCTGAACTAGATCACACAAAAAGATGCTCCATGTTATTGTTACCACCAAGTTTCATTGGAATTGACAGAACGACTATTCAGTATCTAATTAATAAAAACGATATTTCATGGAAACATCAATACCCTATCAACACTTAGTTAATTTCGATTGCCAATATTTGGCACCGTATTGAGTAAAGAGGTCAGGTACACAAAATTATAATTGATTCCTTATATATGTCGTCAGATTTTTGAAAAAATATGCCAAAAGTACTCACGAAACACGTATCCTCTGATGACACTTATTGAAAATAATAGAAGTAATTGTAATGGTACAATTATTGTTATTCTCATTTTTGCGTGAAATGTCACATATATTATTCTGCTGTATAAATGCTTTCAGAATGTTCGGCATACTATTCATTATAGGCAACTTTTGCGATAAAAATAACTACCAATTTATAATGAAGCAAAAACTCGTAGTCATTTCCACAGGTCATCAATAAAATAAACAACAACAATGGTAGATGAAGAGTGAACCTACTTTCCTGGCTAATTCCACGCATAAATGCAAATCAAAAATGACCAGAGGTCCTAATGGTATTCCATTTTTCCTCCTGAATGACTGCGCTATCATCTTTGCAAAGTCTTTTTAGTCAGTTTTAATTGAGCACTGACAACAATATGCTTTCCCGACGTTTGGAAAGATGGTAAAATATGTCCTATCTTCAAAAAAGGTAACAAATATTTGATTGAAAACTATAGACCAATTGTTGAACTATGTAACTACAGTGCACTATTTGAAATGGTCTCATATAATATTACACCATGCAGATGTTAAATGTCAGAATATTGATAATCAGCATGGTTTTGTTAAGGGTAGATCATCAATGAGTAACTTGACGTGCATTGCACAATTTATTGCTGATGAATGAATTCATAGGCATTTGTACTTCTTGACAATATTTCAATATTACGTGAACACATCTGAAAAGTAATCATTACACATATATATACCTCAAATTCACCTCGAGTAAGTTCACTACGTTGAACTATAGTTACATGAACGGGTATTCCTACGTTAAAATGAAGCAACATAATGAAAATTCAACTATATGGTTATTGCTGCATGAATCTGCCTTTAACGATACAAATTTCTGCATACAATAACAGCAAACACGAAGGACAAAAGCGACAGAATGCAGACGAACAGACAAGCAGACAATGGAGAACACAGGAAACAAAGATGGCGATAGCATATGCATTTTATCAGTCCACTACATACTTTATAGATATCCATTGAAAAGGTGTGTCACTAGTTATCCACTGGATGATCATTTGGGTTCATCCAGTGAATGTACAATTCAAGTCCATGGCTATCCAGAACTTTTTTGAATATCCATTGGAATAGTGTCAGTAGGCGATTTGGTTTATTCACTGGAAGTAGTACATTTCTTGTCCATGGACCTCCAAACGTTCCATAGACCTACCTGAAATGGACATCCGTTGGATGGCCTGTACTGTCGTTTCAAGAGGCTTCAAGCAGTCTTCAATGATTTACACACAATTTGAATATAAGTATAATTTGAAACATCAGTCGACGCACCAGAACGATTGACATGGATTGACAGATGATTCATAGAAATGGTTCAAAATGTTCATTATTCTCACGTATATACAAACGGAATGAATACGTACGAATTCGATGAAGAAAATTGGAAATAGCTATCAGCTATTTTTCATGTTGTTTTTTTTTGTACTGAGTCATTACACTGATGCTTTGAATTACTGAAATTTCAATTTTGTTGAGACCATAAGAGTTATCAAATTTCTTCAGAAGTACATTTTCTGTAGAGAACAAGTTTCGCAATCCAAATTTCATTTTCAAACCCGTTTTTCTGCATTGGCGTAGTAGCTTCAGATGTTTATTTCCTGAATCATGATATGAATATGCTTGATGAAGCTATGCTACCTACTGAATTTGAGTTGAATTTCGATAGTCATTTCAAAGTTATGAAGCAAAAACGATTCGAAAATTATAACTTCAGAGCCAGATTGGTAGTATTCATATATTCCAGCAGAGCAAACCTGAAGTCTTAGTAGATATCCTGAGCAATTCATAGTCTCATTCAAACTGGTTCCAGTCCATGACTTGTTTAGTCCTCAACTCAATTTGATAGCTGAAAATCAGTATTTTTCCTGATCATACTGATCGACCTGTTAACACCATGATAGACAACAAACAAAATGGCTGGAATGAGTGGAATCAAATTGAATTGACCTTTGACAGTTGACAAGGTTACTTTGCCGTAGAAAAAAATCCTTGTATATAAATGTTAGCTACGTTATAAGGTGGTGAAACAAAAACGTTGAAAGAATAACATAACAACTCTGTCTGAGGTATTTCTGAAGGACCTAAAATCAACATATTACAACATTATCTGATAATATTCATTTCAATATCCAGGATGACATCATCGCAATGTTATGTCAACTATATCACTGAACTTAATAATATGATGGTTATGTATGTTCTGAAGTGAGTTTTTCATCTAGGCTCTTGGGTTTTATATACTTTGTGTTTGTTTATATCAAATATAATGTTTTTTTTGTATATTCATTTTTATAATGTCGTGTACCATCAACGATTCAACTTCAACATTATTTATACATCTTTTATTTGATTTCGATTTTATAACTGTATTTTTCTCATGTGGCTTTGTCGATAAGATTTCTTTTTTTTGGACAATGAAGCGTACTTTGAATTGATTTGAGTTAATTGGAATGCAACAGTGAATCAGTTGAAGCTCCGAATCTTAACAATTTTCAATTTGAATTCGACTTCGCGTTGATGAGTCAGGCGCTTTTCCACTCCGCCATTCTCATCAGTACTACATAAATGCAAAACGAACCTTATATTTGAGGCCCACTCTGTATCATCGAGCTGATGTCATAACAATTTGGTCACATTTATCATACAGGGTGAGTCATGACTAACCAGCCATAGCCTGACGGCAAATAGAGGAAGTCAAGGTGCGTTTATATACATATGGAAATACCCCTGTATCTTACTTAATCGTTGGGTAAGGATCCTGAAATTTGCTGTAACGAGAGATATACCAACAATGCAAGATCATATTCAGTGATATACACTGCTCGCCAACAGCCACGAATCCACCACAACTTCCGGAAAATGATATTAGGAGTCGAGAAAGGTTGAAAATCACTTCGGATTCGAAATCATTACGCCCAATTCACCAACTATTCATGGTTTTCCTAAAAAAAAGTCAATTCAGGAAAATTAAATTTTGTTTCACTTCTCATGAAAGCACCCCCGTATCTCACGTAATTATTGAGGTAGGGTTCTGAGATTTGAAGGAGAAAGGCTTCCGAAAAAAGTGTTTCAAAATTTAATTTTTCAGAACTGAATTTTTTCCAAGAAAAATATGAATAGTTGATGAATCAGGCGTCCTGATTCCGAATCTGAAGTGATTTTCGACCTATTTTGACTCCTTATATCATTTTCTGGAAATTGGGGTGATTCCATGGCTGTTGGAGAGCAGTTTATATCACTGGAGATTACCCCACTTGGTGATAGAGTGCATTTTTGGTGAATCTCTCGCTCCAGCAAATTTCAGGATCCTTACCCAACGATTTCCTGGGATACAGGGGCGTTTCCATTAGAAGTGGGTCACAGTGTATTGTATATGTGAAAAAATATTTTTTCTGCAACCGACACAAAAGTCGTTTATTTTGATACCAAAATTAGGTCTTAAATTGACGTTTCTACTACTGACACAAAAATAGGTATGTTGCAACATATTTAGTTCCTATAGGAGCTAAAGTTGAATTTTAGTTCCTAGGAGCTAAAGTTGGACTTTAGCTCCTAGGAACTAAAAAGGATGTACTGGGCGTCATCAAGAATAAACAACATTGTGACGGTTGGTTATTTGGGTTGAAAGGCATACCTGATTTGTTTCCGATATCAGCGGATTTGGCATTTCATACCCATGCTGGAGATATAAATACACCTTATTATAGTTCAGTATTGGAATTATGAACATCTCAGCTAAGTATTTTCGTTTTGATCAGGAAAGCCTTCGAGATTTAAATACTTGCTTGATCTGTATTTCATTCGTTATTCTCGGGATGGATAACTTGTTTTTGAATAATCACGGCAAGCAATAGTTTTTTTGTCTCAAACAACGATATTGTGTAGCTTCATTCGATTATAATGTCAAACACAGTGTAGTATGGAGAGGAATGAGGAATAAATAATCACTATTATCATTGTTTATATGCTCACTAACCTAACATTTTCCACGTCTTGTTCCTATAGCTGGTACTGGCGCGGTATTTGTCATTAGAGCACCTGGTCCATACACAAATATGTCACTCTGTGGTTGAATTTATATTGAAAATACAATTCGAACATCCTTGAAAACTTAACCTGCTGTAAATGCAGGTAGAATATTCTCACCACACGGATTATTTGTCAATATTTGTTGCATTGCATACATATGGCACGGCATTGGTGGTTATTTCACATGTTTATTTGAGTTAATTGTTTCGATTGCAGGAAAAATAGCATGTTTCATTCGGATCAAAAGTGACTTTGTTCGATTCGCAAATTTTGCTTTCGCTCGGCTTCGCTAAACGCTCTGCCTCGCAAATGCAAAATTCGCTTGTCAAACAAAGTGTCACTTTTGATCCTAATAAAACAATCTACTATTTTTTCATTCATAACAGATATACAGAGCATTATTTGTATTCTAGGCGAAACTTCGATGAACGATATTTCATCAACGTCTCCATGTTATCGCCTGAAATTCAACTCCAAAATCATTACAAAAATGTGAGGATTGAAACGCTTCCGTATTCCAGGTATTTTTTTGTATTTCTCTATCAATAATTTTTTTCGAACGTTCAAGCAAATATCTCGGAACGGTTTTGTAATTTTTCATATTCCTTATACAAGATGTTCAAAATCGATAATCCTCAATTTTCAGGTTCTCATCGCATCATTTCCGATTTCAAAATTATGCAAGCCACATTCAACGTATTCTGCCACTCTTCACGACGGAACACATCCTAGAAAATGAATTCTAATTGCGTTGAAATCATCGAAAACTTCATCGGCAACTAACCTCTACAGAAACTCCAGGAGATGGCCTACTATTGGAAAAAATCCAAATCCGGACTTGGGAAATCCATGTTCTCTATAAATGTCATAATTTTGACTTTCTGGATAGTATTTTTGGAAAACTCCCATCAAAATCAGTAAGATCAGGAAAAACACTACAAGTGTAGCTTTTTATTTTGTGCGGCACACTTCGACCAAATCTCCAAAAAAA